AAAGTTTGCATTTGCCCTTAAAGGAATTAGATTTGTATAGTCTATTGCTGATTTCCCTCTTTTTACATCAACTCAGGGAAACTCCTTTGTGGCCATTATTGTCTATGTTGATGACTTGGTCATTACTAGTAATGATCCTTTACTAATTCAAGCTCTCAATTCATATCTTGATGGATGTTTTTGACTTAAAGACCTAGGCCATCTTCATTATTTCCTTGGAATAGAGATCACAAGGACTTCTTCTAGAATTTATGTTAATCAATACAAGTATGATGCTAATATCATAGCTGAAACATGCATAATTGAATGCAAACTAGTCCCCCACCCTATGGAACAAGTCACTTCATTGATGACTCAAGCTCACCACTTGCTAATGCCACTCGATATAGAAGACTTGTCGGCCGATTTTTTTACTTGACTATCACTTGGCTTGAATTAAGCTACCCTGTTCATGTTCTCACTCGACACCTTAGTGCTCGACGTGAAGAAGACATGCAGGCCGCCAAATGAGTCATTTGATATATAAAGGGGCCCCCTCGTCATGGTATATTTTTTCTATTCAAAATGATCTTACATTAAGGGCCTATTGTGATTCTGATTGGGTCTCCTGCCCCACCACAAGAAGATCAACAATTGGCTATGTCACTATGCTGGATCACTCACTCATTTCATGGAAAACAAAGAAACAAGTTACTGTTGCTTGGTCTTCTGCGGAGGTAGAATACCACGCCATGGCCCTTACCACCAGTGAAGTCTTATGGTTATGGCATGTTCTTCGTGACCTCGATCTACCTTGCTCTCAACCAGTTCATCTATTCTATGACAACCAAGCAGCAACAATTCACATTGACACCAACTTGGTATTTCATGAACGCACCAAGCACATCAACATCGACTGTCATTTTGTTCGTGAGAATGTTCAATCCAAGGCTATAGAACTTTGTCATGTCCCCACCATGTCACAACCTGTTGATCTGTTAACTAAAGCCCTTGGGGCTGACCAATTCTTTTTTCTTTTGGGCAAGTTGGACATTACCCATGCTTCAACTTGAAGGGGGGTGGTGTTAGCTGATAGTTTGTTATAACTAATCTTGCCATGTGGAAGGCAAGTTGACAACTGGTGTGTATTGTCGACATTGTAAAAATATATATACATGTATATTCAACCATTTTTTGCAATAACAGAGAGAATTATTCATTTTCTAAATTCAGTTCATCATTTGTCACAAAAAAAGGGAAAAGGAGAAGGTAATCATCAACTTGGATGAATATAAATGCATTGTACATTATTGACTATATAAACTTACTAGCGGGGACCCATGTGATGCACAAGATTTGTTAAATTAAATATAAACAATAGAAACATGTAAGAATATACAATTATTTTATATAATAATTAATAATCATTTATATTTTATATACTACTTTTAATATTTTTTATAATAAAAAATTAACAATAATTAATTTTAGATAGGGTTGTTTGTCAAACTTAGGGATGGCAATTTTCCCCATTTCCTCGATCCCCATGGGGATTTGCCCTAAATGGGGTAGGGAAGGGGATGATTTTCCTCCCATAGGGACGGAGATGGGAAAATTTTCATCCCTGTTGGCGAGGACAATGCGGGGACGAGGAGAGCACTCCCTACACCCGCGGGGACCTTGATCCCCACCCCATAGGATTCCCACTAATATAAATGTATATATACGCATATGTTTATATATGTATATATGTATACATGTGTCTATATGTTAATAGTTTTAAAAATATGGTTGAACATGTTCGAATTTTTCTAATAGGATTATAAATTTTAATTATTTTATTTTTTATTTTTAAATAAAATAAAAAATAAAAACATAATGGTTGACATTATAAAGAATCACGGGGAGTGGAGATCCCCATGGAGACGGGGATGGGGAGAGGCTCCTCGTCCCTACCCCACCCCGTTGCCATTCCTAATTAAGCTAATGAAACTGACCAAGCTGATTTCTAGTATTTCTAGTCGTCTTTGATTCAATAACTTCACAACCCAATTGGGTTGGATCAGTTTCACTTTGGCCATTTGTAAATTGACTAAAATCGAATGACCTAATTTTAAATATATTTTTTAATACAATAAAGTGGAAAATTCCAATATTTCTTAGGCTAAAATATTTTATATCATAAATTTAATTTTTAAATTTAATTTTTAATAATTCCATTGTAATTTTTTTTTAAAACTTTAACTTAATTTTTAAATTTAATTTTTTAAGTTTAAATCTTTTGAACCGACCAAACCGAAAATTGACCCAAACTGATATAACCTAAGTGACCAACTCCCCAACTTGACCAGGTCAATTTGGTTGGCCAAACAACCTACAACTAAACCGAACCAAACCGTGAACAATAGTTTAATATTCAATATTATTAAAATTTTATAGCGAAAATACACACTAAATTAAATTTAAAAAGCTAAATAACAGTAGTTTAAACTCCAATAATTATTGAAAAATTTCTATTAAACAATAAAATAAAAATAGATTTATACATAATTATTGAAAATGTATTTATCACAAAAACAATAATTAATTACTGAAGTACACTAAATATTAATTTTAGTATATATAGATTAAGCTTTTAAAATTATTATTAATAAACATTTTTTTTTGAAAGTTATTTTCTATAATTATTAATTGGTATAAATGAAATTAGTTATTTATAATATTATTTATTTACTGAAATAATATCATTATTTAAAATTTTAAATATTAATTACATGTTGAATTTAATAATCCATAAAATTATAGTACTATTAATATATAATTTTGTTATTTTAACTATTTAAAATCTAGTTATGTTAAATATTTTGTTATTTAACTAAATATTTAAAATCTTAATCTATTTATTATACTTGAAAGTTATTCAGTAACTATTGAAAATATATTATTAATTGATTTTAATTATTAATTTTAATAAATTTTTATTTAAAATATTTAGTTATTGAAATATTTAAATAATATTTCATTTTTAATGTTATATTTTTATTATTTGAATAACATTTAGATTGAATAATCTAGAAAATCTTAATTTATATTGTTTGTACATAATTTCGTGATAAATTTTGTAAAAATATATAATTATTAATAATATGAATATTATTAAATAGATTATAACTATTTTTTTATCTTTTTAATAAATACTTTAAAGTTATTATATAATTTTGTTAGAATATTTAAATAATTCTTATTTTTTTTAATTCAAACTTTCTTTAGGTAGATGTAGATAAAAAGTAGGGGAGAAGATAAATAAGAATTAGAGATAAATTTATGAGAGAAACTCTCTACTAAATTAGAGATTATTTGGGAGGAAGTTGGGGATAGTGAGGGAGTTTGTTTATGAGAAATTTTAGGATATTAAATTATTTAGTTCATTGGAATGAGAGAGAGATACTAATGTTGAATCATCAATGTTTTTAACATTTTTTTGTTGATAATTTTGTACATGTGGCAATTGTAATGAACATGAGAGTTCTCGGTTGCATTTAGTTAGGTCCTTGTTAGGACAATAGAGCTGTAAATGAAACGTACTATCAAACATGGTTTATTCAAAAGTGTTTCTGTTTTAAGTAGAGAAAACAATAGTTTTTTTTTTTTACTTTTTATTTTTTATTTTTGGTAAATTACACTATCAAAAGCATGTTTTCTATATTTTTATTTCGAAAGGTGATGCTTTTTATTTTAGTAAGTGGTTTCTCGAAATCAGGTGTGGGACGTTTATCGTTGCTATTGAAATTTTGAAACTAACATGTAAAAAGTGTTCCAGGATGGAGAGTGAAGAACCAGGACTCATCAAGTCATCAGTCCAATCCGGCCCATACCCTTGTTAGTTCGTCCCCAGCTTTACATGGGCCCAGGTTGGGCTGGGCTTTCAGGCCTAAAACTTTAAACATATTAAGTTAACCATATAATATTTTATATTAGGTGAATATATACGTATGAGCATATCTTTTAATTTATATAATATAAAATATTATATTATAAAATTTATATAATATAAATAGCACATTGCCTGGGCCGAGGTGGACCGGGCTAAAAATAAAACTGATCATCCCTTCACATGACCAATTCCAATGAAACTTGTTTTGAACCTCGCTCTATCCACTCTCGGTCCAGAATAACTGGGGAAACTGCGTCCTACAGTTATACTTGCCACTTGTGGGGAAGTGGCGAATAAAAAGTGTCCAAGAATCCTCTGTACAAATGGGAGGATAGGGGGCCAATTACGAAATGCCATGTCAACTGATACTGGAGCTGGTGAGACCGGATCTGCTCCTCACACCTGGCGCCTCGCAGGCGCCTTACACGCTCCACGGTCGGTGGGAAAATTCAGCTTCATTAATGAGACTGAAAGGGCATTGTAGTAATTATAACAGTCGGAATCTTAACAAAAAACTGAAAAGTGATTCTCATTCTTGACCTTCCGATTGGTAGCAGGACTTCGCGGTTATAAGAAGATTCGCGCTTGTACTTTCGAGGAGATCAGATTGGCGCCCCACAAGCGGCCGCTCCTCCCACCCGTATATTGAGAACATCTCCCATGATAAATACGGAAGATATTCCTAATGTAAGGCGTCAATACGATCTCAGTTTGGAGCGGCACCGGACAGTCCGTTTGTGCTGTGTTCCAGAAATCGTAATTCGTAAAGCTGCACAAGGGTCGCAAACCGTCCGTCACATCTAGGGACAGATGGTATGGTAGCGTGATTCTCACGCTCAAGATGCGATTGACTTTTTGATCAGAAATCAATGAAAAAATATATTATAATTAGGTTCCTTTCATATAATAATAATCCAAGATGTATGATAATGTTCGTTTGCGGTGGGCCCGTGGGCGTGGCCATTGCTTTGTAATTTCGCGGGGAAGGAAATAAACCCGATTTTTACACTGCACTCCACCTCATAATTCTGAATTCTATAGGCCTATATCAAATAGTAAAATCAAGATGAATAGATAAGAGAGAGGTGGGAAATTACCAAATTGTGGAAGGGCAGATAAAACTTAAAGGGGGAATGGGAGCCGGGAGGTTTTAAGCATTCACCATCCATCGAGAGCACGCAGAAGTCCGATAGCGAGGTAGGGAGACTGAGAAATAAATATAGCGCCAACATGTCGGGAGGTATAGCGCGTGGCCGTCTAGCCGAGGAGCGAAAAGCCTGGCGTAAGAATCATCCTCATGTCCGTATATTTCTCTCTCATCAAGGACCTCTGTTCTTTTTTTTTTTTTAATTTAATTGTATCGTATGCATTTCTTTTGAATATTTTGGATTTTCTTTACTGATTTTGTTTGTTCATTGTTTTTGTTTATGAATTTCTTTCTAGGGTTTCGTTGCCAAGCCAGAGACTTTACCAGATGGTACTGTTAATTTGATGGTATGGCATTGCACAATCCCTGGTAAGCCTGGGGTAAGTTGTCATCCCTCTCTATTTCTCTTGTCTCCTGGAACTTCCATTTATTTAACTTTTTAAGGTGCTGTTTCATTATCGTTGATTTCACTTTTTTTCGACCTGTCTATACATATCTCTTTTACTTGTTTTACGATTGCCAGAATTGCTTTTGTGTTGAGTTGTTACTGATGTTCCCTTAGGGCCTACGAGCTTGAGCCATTCGTTTTTTTTT